ACACCCAGCGTCTAAATTATATTCAACGGAATCCTATGATCACATAGTTTCTGCTGAGATTCCAGACAAAAAAGAGCATCCACACTTGTTTAAAATGGTTCGCAAGCACATGATGCATGGTCCTTGTGGCGACAAAAATGCAGATAATGTGTGTATGCAAGGTACAACAGTTAAAAAATGCAAAAATCATTATCCTAAACAGTGGGCAGAAAAAACTACACAATCTGAAAATTCTTATCCAACATATAGGCGGAGGAGCAATGGAGAAAAGGTAAAAGTTCGAGGCCATGAATTGGATAATAGATGGGTAGTTCCATATAATCCTTACTTGTTAGCAAAATTCAATTGCCATATGAATGTTGAAATTTGCTCAACAATAAAGGTAGTCAAGTATACTTATAAGTACATATATAAGGGACATGATAAAATACACTTTGCTGTGAATTCAGATGACAGATCTAAAGAGATAGATGAAATTATGGAGTACCAATCAGCAAGATGGGTTTCTCCTATTGAAGCCATTTGGCGAATTTACAGATTTCCCTTATTTGAAACACATCCTGCTGTCATTAACCTTCAGCTACATCTTGAAAATTACCAATCTCTGACCTTCAAAGATGATGCTGATCTTAGAGATCTTTTGAAAAGTAAATTTGCTAAGAAAAGTATGCTAACTGAATTTTTCCATATGAATGCTACTGATGAGAGAGCCAAAACATTGAAATGCACATACAAAGAATTTCCTGAACATTTTGTGTGGAAACCTGGTAAACGCATATGGGATATTAGGCAACAAAGAGGTTCAATAGGCCGAATTGTTACAGCAAATCCAAGTGAGGGTGAGAGGTACTTCTTAAGATTATTGTTATTGAATGTAAAAGGGCCAACATCATTTGATGACCTGAAAACTGTCGATGGTGTTTATGTTAATACCTTTAGAGAAGCAGCAATAATGAGAGGATTATTTGAATCCAATAACCCTCAAGAGCAGTGCCTAGAAGAAGCAGCTTTATACCACATGCCATATAGCTTTAGAAGACTATTTGCTACCCTATTAGTTTACTTCACTCCTGCTGATCCAAGAAGTTTATGGTTAAAATTCAAAGAATCTATGTCAGAAGATTTCAATAGAACTTTGAATTTGTCAAACGATCAGGTCCAACATAAAGTTCTCTATGAGATTAGCAAGTTCTTAGAATCAATGGGAAAAAACATTAATATGTATGGATTAGTACCACGAATCTTAAAGTTTGATGAAATGGATAGAGGTACAAGAGACACAAATTCTGAGCTAAACTTTAAAGTCAATGAAGAAGATATTGCTGCTATCTCTAAATTAAATGAGGATCAAAAAGTAGCATTTGATACTATCATAGATGCTGTTTTTATACACAGCAAAGGAAGTTTCTTTATTGATGGGCCTGGGGGAACAGGGAAAACATTCTTGTACCGTGCACTACTAGCTGCAGTTAGATCAAAGGGATGTATAGCTTTGGCAACGGCCTCTTGTGGAGTAGCTGCTTCTATCTTACCTGGAGGTAGAACAGCCCACTCACGATTTAAAATTCCTTTAGACATGAATCCTAACAACATGTGCAAAGTAAGCAAACAAAGCTCATTGGCAAAGTTATTACAGCAAGCCAAATTGATCATTTGGGATGAAGCGCCTATGACACATAGAGCAGGAATTGAGGGAGTAGATCGTTTACTTAGAGACCTAATGGATAACTCTGAATTATTTGGGTCAAAAGTGATGGTATTTGGTGGTGATTTTAGGCAAGTTCTGCCGGTAGTTGTAAAAGGGTCAAAATCAGACTTTATCGAAGCTAGCCTTGTAAAATCTTATATTTGGCCTCATCTGCAGAAATTAAAATTGAAGGAAAACATGAGAGCAAGATTAGATCCTGATTTTAGCAAGTACCTTCTTCGTATAGGTAATGGAACAGAAAACACAATTAAAAATGAAAGTATTCACATCTCTCAAGCATTGCTTCTTCGCTATACAAATGAAGCAGAATCCATAAATCAATTGATTACAACTGTCTATCCAAACTTCAACATATTTTCTGAAAATACATACTCATTAATTAATAGAGCAATTTTAACTACAAAAAATGATTTTGTAGATCAGATCAATGAAAAATTGATACAGGAATTTCCCGGAACCCCATTTGACTATTTAAGCAGAGATAAATGTTTAGATAATTCGCAGCAAGCAATTTTAGAGGACTTCATGAATAGCCACACTCCAAATGGTTTTCCTCCACATCGATTGACATTGAAAGAAAATGCACCAATAATGTTGTTGAGAAACATTGACCCACCAGAAGGTCTATGTAATGGAACAAGACTTCTATGCAAATCACTTAAACACAATATTATAGATGCAGTCATAAGTTCTGGTGAATTTGCTGGGAAGCAAGTATTTCTACATAGAATTTGCTTTCGTGTTGAAAATGACCCTAATTCTCCTATATCTTTTGAACGAATGCAATTTCCTATAAGACTTTGTTTTGCAATGACCATTAATAAAGCTCAAGGGCAAACTTTAGATTATGTTGGCATTTATTTGCGAGAACCTGTTTTTTCACATGGGCAGCTGTATGTTGCATTATCTAGAGCTAAAAATAGCAAATCTGTTAAAATTTTGATCACACCTCCTGTATATGATTCAAGTTTAGATTATGTGACTCCTAATATAGTTTACAAGGATGTATTGCAGCTATCTTGTCAATAATTCCAGTACTCTGTTATATGTAAATAGCAAATAAAGTACCAGTAAATGTCTTAGTAATATATTATATTTAAATTCTATGAACTTACTACTTCGGAGTGTAACTCTTGTCTTTGGAATCCTTCGATTTTGTGGTAGTTGTCTGCAGCACTCTTCAAACGTCAAAAAATGGAAAGCAACCTGGTAAACTTCACAGAACTCCAACCTCTCATGGACAACTGGACTGCCATTGTTCAAGTGATTGAAAAGCAAAAGGTTCAGGTTTCAAGAAATGGAAAACGCTACCAAAAGTTGGTGTTTGTTGATAGTCAGGTAATATAGCTTATCATTGCATACTTTGGCACTATACACAACTAATTAATTACCATAGCACTTACTGTATTCAAAATTACAGGGTCAAACTGCTCAAGCTCTAATTTATGCTGGAGATATAATGTTCTTCAGGAAGTACTTTGAACCATATCGAAGATATTATGTATCGAATGCTAGGATTCAAAATGTGTTGCCAAGGTACAGTACGTACCCAAATGAGTGCTCATGGACCATTGACAACTCCACGCTTGTCCAAGAAATCGATGAAGTGGACCCCCCTCTGATACCTAATGTGTTTAACTTTGCTGACTACGATTCAGTTTATCAGCACATTGACACAACTGATGAAATAGGTACCATTCCTGATTTACCTTAACATATAATTTACATAGTCATAGTTACACTTTTTAATATCAAACTCTGGTTATTAGATCTTATTGGAATAGCAATTCACGTGCACCCGAAAGCAATCAGAGGTGGAACACCAACTAGGGATATCATTCTTACAGATCACATGTCGCACCCAATGGTACTGACCCTTTGGGGAGAGCATGAATCAGAAGAGGGACAAGACATAGCTGATATGATCCACACCCAACCTGTGGTTGCAGCGCTTCGAGTCCGAGTGACATCTTACCATGGTACGTACTCTTTTAAAAACCATTTACAAAAATCCTAAGTTGACTGAAACCAGAAAAGGAAAAACTTATGTTGCTATTGTCAACTTTGTAGCCATGCATCTATCCACCAAATTCTCCAGCAGCATACTAATCAATCCTCCAATTCAGCAAGCCAATGACCTGCGTAACTGGTAACTTTACTTTAAAATAGTTACATTATAAATTATTCAACATTCATTACCAAAAAGGCTTACTATCCTTTACATTACAACAAATAAAATATTAGGTGCAGTCACAATCAAGAGGAAATCACGCGTTTCATTGCTGAGCGGACTTATGGTGATCGTCTCAAACTCCTACCTGTACCAGATGATGACAGAGTTATAACTATCAGCGATCTCACAGCTGTGGTTGAGGTACATATACAACTCACTCACAATCCTTTATTTCTGCATGCATGCCAACAGCCAAAAAGTCTGTAGTCTCTTCCATTACAAAATTGGCTTGTGGGTTATCGAATTGGATTATACTGACTACAAGCTTGAACTACCATTCCCTACTCTCCTGATTGATTGGTAATGAGATTTGAATGTTTTGGGCAAAAATGTCTTCAGTTTAGTTTTCATTGTATCTGTACGTTTTTGTAGAACTAATTAATGCTCCCTTTCATTTGGTTTTTCCGGATATACGGGCTTTCATCCAGTAATTTTGTCCTCGTTAATGAAATTAGTAGCTCCTGTTTTCCCATTTTACCCAGTAATTTTTTATTTACTTGTTTGTCCCATTTCTTCGTATTTTTGCATCTCTGTGACTTTGTAGGTGGAATTTCGTGTTTTAATGCTACTGCGTAATTACCATTTTTTCCCCTACTCATTATCTTACTTGTCAAATTGTACTTTCTCTCTTGTGAACCTCACTGTAGCGTAAAGCTTTTTAATTCTTTTTAATTGCTTGATGGATTCTATAGTTTTATTATGAAACTCTCGCCCATGTGAAATTCAAGAATCATATGCTTTGCATTATCTTTTATAAGAGGGTCTTCTGGGCCTAATACAATTCTTGCCTGGCGTACTAGATGTTAACAAATGGCTTAACACAATAGGTTAACAGTGCTACAAAATTGATTATCTACTTTGACTTCTATTACTATTAGCAAACTTGGTATACTTGTCCGAGCCTTTGTAATAATACAATGCTCATTCATTGCAGGCAAGGCCCTATTGGATTAGAGGCATACCAAAACTTCTAGATAGAAGTCAAAAGCTATGGTACCATTCATGCCCCCACTGCTACAAATACATCAGAGCAAGGCCAGATTGCGAGATCACCTGCACTTCATGCTACCAGCGCATCCGTCTCACTCCACGGTAAACATATACCTTAATCTAATATTAACAACCCCTGCTGCCAAAAAAGCTTCTAATAACATGAACCCAAAAACAGCTGCAGACTAACAGTGCAAATTAGTGATATGAGTGGTGCTATAACTCTTGACCTGAGTGGTGATGATGCTGAACAACTCCTCCCATTCTGCATAAGTGACATCCAAAAGCAAGAGCAGCAGGTACATTCGAACTCAAAACTACTTTGCAACATTCTGCTCACTTCAAATAAATACTTAAAGTCTCTATTCTTCCTACAGGGAAATGTCCAGTACGCCACTATAGCAGATTTCATCAAGCAGAAAAACTTAGTTTGCTTGGTCAAGAAATCAAATACAATCCACAGTTCCAGGAGCTCAGAAAAGTACAATGCCATAGTTGCCCATATCAACAATGCTACTGCAGAAGAAAACTATGTCATCAGCAAATATATCACCAACTACAAAGCTACAGCATCCACTTGGGCAGCAGCACAAGAAGAACATTCCAAAAAGAATGTTACCGACATGGCTGAAAATATGGCAATAGAAAAAGTTGATAGCATAATGGAAGGAGAAACACAAAGCAAAGGAGTGGATCAACTCAGTCCTTCTAACACAGAAGATAAGAAGAAAAAGGCAGCAGTTGCAGCAGCCCCAATGAAACTCAGAGTCAACCCCACTAAGAAACACCGCACCTAAACTGCCAAAGCCCATCCTTGAAGTTATATCCTTTGCGAATGGATCTTCATTATTCCTAAGTACTACTACTTTAACGGACAAACTTGGCTGAACTTTTCCTTTATCTGTTCTATGTAAATAGAAGTATCTAAAATAAGACTGTTTCAAATTAGGTTAAGTGCAAGGTGGTCTATTATACCTTCTTAGAAAAGGAGCCACTGAGCATTTAATCTAAATCTGAAACTATCATTGGGCCTATATCCCTGTCCGTATGGTCATGAACTCAAACATCCTGATCTAAGCTATGGTTTTTTATAATACTATGATGTGGTTCTCTATTATTTTCGTACGGCTTCTCAGTTACAACTTCCATCTTTTCTCTCTTCACTATTATTTACGAAGGTTAGATAGATCTCACCACGCGCATTATGGAGTGCGCATTGCGCGACCCACAGGCACCCCACTCCCGCGCATTGCGCGGGCCTCCCCCCCTAGTAGATGAAATAAAAACAAGAAGATTTGGGTAAGAAAGTATTGGTCAAGTGGTGTACTCAACCGGTAACAAACGGCGCACATCGATTCAAGCCTATTTCCTTGAATCTCTTGTACTTTTGTTTTAACTTATGATTCACTAACTTAATATTAGTACTTCTAATCACACAGTTTCTCTTACTTAATACTCGCTCTTATCCACCAAATTTAGTACACACATCTTATCAACTGACCACACTATCAAAATGTGCAAAAACCCTAGTTTACCTTAACTATAAGAGTAAAAGTAAAACTTTCGATTTTATGATGTATTATAACTATTGAGAAAGTAAATTAGTAGTAAAGAAATTATAAATGAACTTATTCAAAATAAAAGAGAATTATAAGAAAAATATAGGTGAATTTTCAAGTGCTCGGTCTTTTCTTTTTTGGAAAAGGTAAAACAAACAAGCACTAAAATTCAGAATTTTGAAATCAAAGTAAAGATTGAAGATAATGAATATTCAGTTGACCTTTTCAAGAGAATGGTGTCCCAGCATCCAGACACGATCCCCGGATCCCCGGAAAAGAAAATTTTCAAATCGAAGCACCCTACAGCTACAGTCGCCTGTGCACGCCTCAAGCTGGTTGTCCAATACGAAAACAAGTAATGGCAAAATTGTTCACAATATTAGATCGATTGGGTCTTTCAAATTTAATGCTTGGAAGCCATACATATACAGATTTAAGGTAGCATAATTTTTTGAAAATTGTAATAATTTTACTCATAACTTTTAAATACATATTGACTATTCACACGTACAAATTTCTGTGTATAATTTTAGCTTTTTGTCATACTTTTAGAAAAGAATCTGTAAAATATGAGTGTACATAATATTCCATACAATGGCCGTATGTTGAAAGTAAAATATAACATTCATTAACTTAAACCTGCTTCCACAGTGGTAAATTCCGGATTCCAAATCAAAATGATTGACGTTCAAATCAGGCCAATTTTTTGTTAAAATAAAAAAATGATTCGAACAAAATATCTTTCGGATTTCCAAAAATAAGAAAAACATAGCAAAGACACATACATGCCAGAAATATATAGTCAGAACCCAGAAAAATGAAATAACTTGAGACAATCTACAGTTTTGGTGAGTGTCTTTGGATCCATAATTTCATAAAAATAGGAAAAAAATACATTTAATAATTTTATAATACAACGTATACCTGTCGCATAAATAGCCCAAAGATAGAATAGAGTGATGAAAAAGGTGGATGCGTCTCACAATTGCATGGTACACAGAGTCCGTGTCCGACAGGACAGCTACACTTGTGTACTGCAACTGAATTATGTCCCAGCTTCTAAAGTCGATTCAGCAAAGAAAATTTTCGAATGGAAGCTCCCAATAAAGCAACAATGGCCTATTCTACTTGAATGCTAGCTAGTACATTTAACAAAGTGTAAGAAGCGAAAAAAAATAAATAAATAAAATAAAATTCACTGCCTCAAGGCCACAATTGGGCAGTCAATAATTAAAGTATATTTGTGATCAAAATAAAATCTAAGATGGGTGTAATTAAACCCGGTTCCCATAGTGGTGTAATAAAAGAAATTCTAATTAGAGCCTCGACAATCACCAGTGGTTGCGAGGCACGTTTACAGTACAATTTTCCTTGTGTACATCAATTCTTGAAACATTGACCCAAATAGCAAATATAGAAAACGAAAAAGAAAATCCACCCATGGCTGCGTTCCAGATGAATCGCACCATTAGGTAAATTAAGCAATCGGCAACCATTTTCGCACAGTTCTTAAGGAGAGGAGACCATTGATAGCTTGGAAAATGGTCTGTGTATGCCTACAAATTGTTTGTTAGATATGAAAAGAATTAACGCTGAAATTGTTCACATCGATATGACCTATTGAGTCCAACAAATTGCAATGCTTACCACGTTCAATGGACTTTGGACAAGGCATGTCTATAAAAGGAGAAATCAAGGCCTAAAACTTGAGAGCATAAAAAATGTAAAGTAGCGTAGATGGAAATTAGAATGGTTTGAAAAGCAGCCTTTAGAGCCATCTCCAGTGCCCTGTTGTGGATTATTATTCTCTTCCATCTGTTTGTTCCAGTATATATAGCTCGCAGTCCGACTCACCAAGGGAAAACTAGAGTACTGCACTATTTATTCTTTTTTAAAGGGGACAAAAGGAAAGAAAGAATGTGCTGTTCCAGTTCACATTAGTTAACCGGGTCATGATCCTCTCCATTTCAAATGCATGCATGTGTGTCGTGTTGTTCTGCCAATTCAGATTTTTTTTTTTTTTTAACATGACATGCTCAAATGCCTTAATATTAGATAGGAATATAGACTATTATTTTAGAGTATTTATTATAAACAGAATTGTACTGATTTTTATACAAAATGTATTGCAAAAATTTAAGCTAAAAGATGTTGGTTTTTGGGGAAAGGACAACACAGTTGTCTTTTACAGCAACTCCAAAATTAAGCAATCAAAAGTACTTTTCTTTTCCACAAAACTATATTAACATTATTTGAATAGTGTGGTTTTAAAAAGGTTTGAAATCATCAATGTAAATTTTTAAAATTATTGTTTAGGAAATAGAATTAAAAATCAAATCTCCTATATATAGTCATAACTTTTTGGTGGCCCGTGGATGGGAGGGGATCTTGCTACCAGTTTTTCAATATTTGACTCGTAAATTATCAATGTTAGATGGACCGGATCAACGAATACAGGATCAAATGCGACTAGGCCTAAAACTATGTTTCAAATGATAGATTTATTGTGCATTTGGTCTAGTAAGTATACGGATATCATGAAATTGTAGTTTGTTATTCTGTCTATAAATTAGTCTATAATGATATAAAACATTATCCTATAAAACAAGGATACATGCCTGTCTATGACCATGCGAATGAAACTTTAAACTTTAAAAGTCCCGAGGACACGCTTAAGCATTTTGACTGATTAAATAGATCGCTGATGACTGATAAATGCTTTTAGCAATGATAAACTATTTTGACTGATGACTGATTAAATAGTTCAGGTGGAGTTTAATAGAGACCAAAGAGTTGACAATCAAATCAAAAATAAAAAGCCCGCACACAGAAAGAGAGAGAGTTGAATGCCAATAGAGTACAGGACTCCGTCATAGGAGGGAACACCTAATGCAGATTGAACACCTAATCCTTGGAAAATCGGATAATTTCGTAGGATTAGATGTGAAACCAGTAGCAGAAGGAAGAATTGGCATTGAAAAGTCAAGTTTCTGGTGAAGACTTTGTCAGCATTACTGGTTCATGCCACTATTCACTTATGTGTAAGCATCTATTGGTTTTTACTGTTTATATGAGACCTTAGTAATTGATTTTAGGAAAAGAAAGTAAAGTTAAATAGCAAAAGTTGTATTTAATGGAGCATTAGTTGCTTACATCCAAGAACCTTAATGGAGCATTTATTAGTTGCTTACAAGTTGATAGTACAAGAAAAGGAACTTAAAGCATCGTAAAAGTAGGGGAAAAGTGTATATTGAATGTATTAGAGCAATTGCATAAAGGGACAATTATCTAATCAGATCTCAAAATGGTTAAAACAAGGAGGAATTTTACTTTTATTGCGAGTAACAATTGTAAAGAATTTGAAGGCTAATTTGAATCTTAGCAGAATCTGAACAAATACAATGTGCTTTGCTTTCAAGGATTTCTTCATTCATTCTGCCTTTCCATCTTTGAAACTACAGATTACCGAGAGAAGATTCCCCTCGAGGTTCTCATCCTTAGGTCGACCATGGGCTTCTATTGAATTTGTGAACGGTCGCCAAGGGAGAAAGTAGAACAGAATGGACTACTTTAACACTAACAAGTTAGGATTATGAAATAAATTGTACCAAAGTTTCAAGTTCATTAATTTATTAGTATCTTTTATTTAACTAGTCAGAATTGCTTAGGTTCATGATATTCTCTACTGCAGACATTATCAATTATCTTCTCAACATTTTGACTCCTAATTCCCTGTTTATTGAGAGAAGGATGACTTCAATAGAATGGCCTTCAGTTTTCTGTATGCTTCAAAAGGTGCATATGACATGTCAACAATCTTATTGGTCGCCATACAAGAATAATTATTGATTAAATACTGGATCTTAAATACTTGCTTTACCTCGTTATTTAATCAACAATCTTTTTTCTTATTGATAACTTTCGGTGACTCCCAGCCAAAAAAAAAAAAAGAAAAGAAAAACGAACTGAAGTAATTATAATACTGGAGCCACGAGGGCAGGAAAAAAATTCTGGGAAAACGTATCTTGAGTAAATAAATAACCTACATGTGGGTATACATACATACATCTTTTCATATATAAAACATGAAGCATGAGTTTGGTGTTTAAACTTTTTATCGTCTTTTATTTTTTTCAATTTTACTTTCACAAAATAAAAACAATTTAATTTTTTCTTAATTTGCACGCTCCCTATATAATATGCCAAACGAAAACTTGGATGAGCAGTTGATAATTTTTTAGGCCACTCCATGTGTGGATTTAGTGACTAGATGAGTTTTCTCATTTTTAGTGATCATAAAATTTGACGAAAGTGTTTCTATATCCAAAATACCTAATACTTGAAATACAAGAAAGGCAAAAAATATTTTACTAAACAAAAAACTTAATGACCAAAGACTCAAATAGTCC